CTTTAGGTTGAAATTTTCCAAAATAATATATTTTCCTGCAAAACTTTTTTTCTACTTTCTCATACTGGTTGTATTAAGTGTTAAAAATGTTGCAAATCCCTGATCCCTGTTATATGCAAATATATTGATGCAATACAGGATCTGGGAGAAGAACCCAAATTCCAAAATATATAACAAACTTCTTTTTGTGTGTGGTGATAAACAAATCAGAAGTGAGTCATACAAACTTTCCCATATTTTTTCCACAAATTAGATCAGGCGTTGTCATGGAAAGGACGTCAAGTTTGATAGCAAAAAAATTTGGAAAAGGGTACTTTTAGCACAATCATGTCGTCAGCCCATGCTCCAAACATATATGGGACTAGCTACGTGACAGTAAGTTGTAAAAATATTTTTTATTGTGTATTGGTGAGTTTTCAGTGATAATTTTTTGTTGTAGAGCAAGGTGTTATTCCATTTTGTTAAATTTACAAGATTTAATGTTCAGATGAGGTATTTATCTGAACAAAAATATTGCTATAAGATTACCATTTCTGGTCACAAATACTAAATTATGGGGTTTAATTGACCTTCAAGGTGAATAAATAGAAATTCTGAAAAATCTGTACATACAAACTTCACTAAAACAGTATATGTTCTTCCAAATCATCTGTCTCACAGCTTAAAAGTGTTTGATCATCTGAAAAAATTTGGAAAAGTACTCATTTTTAGCATCATATAATGTAAATTAGATACAAAGCCAGAATATTCATTCTCGACTTATTGGGTAGAGTCGAATATAATCTCAGACAGATTTGAGAATCGAAACAATTTAACGTGCCAGTCTCATAGCAGCATGGTTTGTATGGCCAAACATAACAAGGCTAATTGGTCGACATTCCCCACTATAATGGTGGCTCCTTTCTTTTACCCAATAATTTGGGAATGAATATTCTGGCTGTATATCTAATTTACATATATGATGCTAAAAATGAGTACTTTTCCAAATTTTTCCTGATGATCAAACACTTTTAAGCTGTGAGACAGATGATTAGGAAGAACATATACTGTTTTAGTGAAGTTTGTATGTACAGATTTTTCAGAATTTCTATTTATTAACCTTGAAGGTCAATTAAACCCCATAATTTAGCATTTGTGACCAGAAATGGTAATCTTATAGCAATATTTTTGTTCAGATAAATACCTCATCTGAACATTAAATCTTGTAAATTTAACAAAATGGAATAACACCTTGCTCTACAACAAAAAATTATCACTGAAAACTCACCAATACACAATAAAAAATATTTTTACAACTTACTGTCACGTAGCTAGTCCCATATATGTTTGGAGCATGGGCTGACGACATGATTGTGCTAAAAGTACCCTTTTCCAAATTATTTTGCTATCAAACTTGACGTCCTTTCCATGACAACGCCTGATCTAATTTGTGGAAAAAATATGGGAAAGTTTGTATGACTCACTTCTGATTTGTTTATCACCACACACAAAAAGAAGTTTGTTATATATTTTGGAATTTGGGTTCTTCTCCCAGATCCTGTATTGCATCAATATATTTGCATATAACAGGGATCAGGGATTTGCAACATTTTTAACACTTAATACAACCAGTATGAGAAAGTAGAAAAAAAGTTTTGCAGGAAAATATATTATTTTGGAAAATTTCAACCTAAAGCAACGGTATAGGGTTTACTACAAGATCTCTATTCAACCAAATGCAAACAGCCATATTGATCCAAAAATTATGGCAGTAGATTTTCATTATTTCCATAATTACTCATACTATTCAAGAATATCCAACCATAGAAAGATTATAAACCTATTTAAAACAAGAAAACACGCCAAACAAGCGAGTAACTTACATATTAAGCTCAACTGACTATAGAAATGGGGACTATAAAAGGCATCATCGTGTCGAGCAAATGACGAAAATTTAAACGAAAGACCATGAATTTTGGAGAGAATTAAACTGTAATAAAACTAATACCCTTACCTGCGTAGGATTAACACGAATTCTGAGAGATCGAACAAGAATTCAGTCCATATTTTTCATAAAAACCGTGACAAAACTCACAAACCCTTTAAAGTCCGCCATTTGCAATCGCACGGAACGATTTTCGCGCATGCGCAGACAAAATGCACCTATGTTACCTTTAACGTTTTCGTCTATTATTTGTTTAGCAATTTACATTTCAGTCGAGGATTGCGCTTTTTTTTATACACCCTGTATATCAGATGGTCTCTTGAAGCTTCATTTATGCATAGCAGATTTCTAGTCCCAGATCTAGACTTTAAGTGACACCAACTTACCGGGACACCAACAGTTCTCTTCTCTACTTCATCCGACACTGTTTCACGAAGAACGTTGCAGGCAACAAAATGCTCTGTGAGAACCAACACGAAGCCAAACAACACAAAACTGATAAAAGACATAGTCGGTGAACCTTTTTCTGCTACGGTGGATTTGCTGGAGAAAATAAAGCACAAAAATAATACATGTATAACATGTTTATGAAATGAAAAACGATTAATACAATTATTTAATTATTTGTTGTGTTTATATAAGTCGTCATATATGTTCGTTTGGGGGGGGGGGGGGGACGTTTCTCTGTAAATCATCTTTGCAGAATATAAAAAAGAAAATAACTTGATACAAACACCAGTCTATATCCGTAATACCATACCTTGTTCTATACATTTATATTATTACGCCTTCCATGCATTGAAAACACTCAAATTTAACATAATAATTAAAACGCGCTAAGTTGTTTTGAGAAACTTTGGCAATTTTAATTGTCTTTGTTTGTGGAAACACCACGTAAATTTATTACTGCAAAGCTTTCGATCCGTAAGCCCGGATCTTCATCAGTGCTAATAATGTGACTTGTTTAATTCACACGCTCCTTTTATATACAAGAGTGTCGTGATCTGTTGGCTCGCGTCATTTGAAATTTAATTAAACGGCACATCGGCAATTTGGCAATTTTGTATAATTTATATTAATAAAAAACATATGTTACCAGAAGATGACATACTCCTCGCGGAAGCATCGCCAATAGCCGACCGTACTGAGAAAATATTAGAAAATTACCTTATGTGTACTATAAGAACAGAATATCGATAACCATGTGTGAAGTTTCTATAAGGTGAGGGGGAGGGGCGTCTAAAGAGAAACGTCCAAATATGACGTTTCTCATGGACAAAATCGATATCTGAGACTTTCCTAAGGCACTTTTCAAAATGACTATTCCCGACAAGTATTTTCTATCTGATTATTGAATGTACTATTTATAAAACATGCATGAGGAGCAGTGTTTTATCAGATATAAAGATACGAGGCGAAGCCGAGTATGTTTAGGTCCGATAAAACACGCACTGATGTTTTAAATTGCTTCAAAAACGATCAATGAGTAAGTTCATTGGCGAAGAAATTTTCAGTCATGTTTCGTTGTGTAAGTCAAGAAAATCAAAGTTAAAGTTTATGCAAATCAAGGGAAATCTCTATCATGCATTCATACACATGATATAAAGATACGACACGCTTATGATTTATCTTTGTGCATGTTTTCCTCATGAATTATTATCATTAAACGACATTTAAAAGGATGAATATATATATCGACATTTAAAATGATGAATATATCTTTAGCCAAAATTTTGTTTGTGTTATAGTTATTCCGACTTGTCCAAATATGCAAATTAATTGGGTAAGAAAAATCTGGAAAATGTATGTGTGTTATGATTAAGACTAAAAAGAATACCAATTTTCATTTGAAAGGTATAACTATTATGAACTTGTTAATTTCGATAAGTTATTGATTTTGGGGGACTGGAGAGTCCATGAAACTCGCATATATAAATATATATATATATATATATATATATATATATATATATATATATATATATATATATATATATATATATATATGAAAATGTTCTAGAGTGTGTATTATATAATTTCCATACCCAGCGCAAACAGAAAGATGTTGTCTGCCGCGGCTGGGTCTCGAACCCGCGACCTTCGAATTACTAGATCGACGCTCTACCTACGTACTGAGCTACACGGTCAGACGGATTTAAGACTGGAAATTATGAAATATATACTGAATGTCATTAATCTACTCGTTTATATTAATGCAGCATCGAACAATAGTAGTTCTGCAAGTGTTATGTTAGTTGTGTAATTGTACACTCTGTAATATGTTAAGATGAAAATGTTCTAGAGTGTGTATTATATATTTTCCAAATAATAATGTGTAATAGTGAAAATAATGTGTAATAGTGCATGTGTGTATAGTGTGTGTAGTGAGTGTAGTGTAATAGTGTGTATTATATAATTTCCATTCCCTTAAATCCGTCTGACCGTGTAGTTCAGTAGGTAGAGCGTCGATCTAGTAATTCGAAGGTCGCGGGTTCGAGACCCAGCCGCGGCAGACAACATCTATATATATATATATATATATATATATATATATATATATATATATATATATATATATATATATATATATATATATATATATATATATATATGTAGTCGCATCCCTACCAACGAAAGATTGATAACTAATCAAGCACCATTTATTAATTGCTGAAATTCTTATAGCCAACCAATGGTACCTCCTCCATCCCCAATCGAGACTTATCACCCGTATGAAAATGGGGATATAACCTTCACTATAAATAAGCGAAGCAGAAAGGGAATGGTCCCAAGAGAAACAAGAGATTTATTCGCATCGGGAAAATACCTCGAACTGGTCCTGGGTGTGGAACCCAGGTGGACAGAGCATGAAGCGGAACAAGCAGCGACATGTAAAAGTGAAACGACGGCAAATGGTATAGGGAAGCATGGTTGGGAAGCTCGAAGTGGTTGATCGCGAACGCCTCCTTGCCAGTTTTCTATATTGTATATTCGGTTAATTTCCTTTTATTGTGCCAATAAACTACATGTAAATTCATGCTTAGTTAATTTATTTGACGGCACATAAGCATGACATTGTCGTTATACGACTATAGCATATAGGCTACTAGTTAAATATACTCAAGCATTTAATATACTCATGCAGTATTCAGTAATTCAAACTCAACGCAGCAAAATCTAAAGCATTTTTGCGAAGTGGTATAACCGCAACAACCGCTTATATAATCGTGGTCAATTTGAATATACTATCTCCAGCTTTGTAAAGAGTTTGCTGACTGAACGAAAGAACACTTACTGCATTATAGAACAGTTAGAGATTTAACAAACAGTGCATGTGACAGTTATTATAATACCCTAGATTATGCTATTATAGTTATTATTACTTGCCTCATTTCGCTATGGACTCATGCGAAAAGAGTCAACGCTCTGCCGCCGAAAGTCGTGCATGGGTTATCTCGATCTGGGCGGAGAGGTGACAGGGTGATTAGGATAAGTAGTTATAAGAAAGTAATGTCACAATGTTGTTAATATAACTAATCGTAATACTTGATGTTGTTGATGAAGTTGATGGAATCCGCCATTGAAAAGCACCAGGGTGCGCGAAGCAGAAGTGCATGCTCAACATTTTTCATCGAAATGGACAAATGCATGCATGGTCATGCTTAATAAATACATAAATCATAACATAGATAAAACATATGTTTTCAGCACAAAAGGCATTAGAGTGAAGAAAACATTCAATATACACATGGCTACAATAATAGAAGACAGCTCCGTCGCATATGGCAGTAATGAGACTCGTGCATGAAGGGGTCAATAAAATGGCTGTATACGCATTGCAGCCTATATATATTCTCACCGGGAAATTAGAATTTGGATCACTAAGAATGGGATTTTTACCATTTGTAAGCCAGCTGCAATGTTGCTGTTGAGAATGGAATTTGGCAAATAATTATGTCGGGTGACTGGCATTCAGACGATTTTTTAGCTGAAAAAATGGGATTGAACACCCGCCCCCATGCATTTCATGTCCCTCGGTAAAAACATATAGTCCTGCACAGTGACAGAGTGCAAGCCCGGGTACACGATTTTTAATAAGTTTGAAACCTATACACCTATGACCGATAAAAATTGCTTCATCATCCTTGCCATCCTTCACTCATGACGTAGAAGTTATATTTCTTTAATAAAAAAGCCATGCAGCCCACTATTCAATGTGTCTTGGTAATTTGTTTTCGAGACAATCCAATATGGTGAGTGCTCAGATTTGTCAGAGTCATTTGAATTCGGAAAAATTATATATCCAATTTAGATTTTAAGACGGCTTTACTGGTTCATAGATTATAAGGCCGCGTTTACACTACGACGCTACGGCAAATTTACCGTAGCGTAGTGATTTGCATCTGGAATGCCAAACGTAGTGCCTAGTGGTGTGTAGTTAATACGCTACGGCAACCCACTCCGTTATAGTGTAAACACAATACTAATATAAGAAACGTAGTGAATTTTTAACGAAATTGATTTCCGCAGTTAATACGCTACGGCAACCCACTCCGTTATAGTGCAAACACAACATAGCTCAATACTAGAAACGTATAGTAAATTTAGTAAATTTTTAACGGAGTGTTTAGCCGTAGCGTCATAGTGTACGTAAACGCTGCCTTAACTCCTATACAGTAGGTTCTTTTCTGAGGAAATCACAAATAGAAATAAAGACATCTTGGCTCGCCCCATATTTCCTTTCTTTTCCTTTTCAAAGGATTTTTTGCTGTTGCAGAAAGTCCATACTTCTATTCGAGCTTAAGATATATATAGCGAATTTTTATAAGCTGCATGCTGACCCACCAGTGTATATTATCAATAATGTTATTAGTTTCTATCGGTTCAAACCTAGCTTGCGTAGCAGTCGCTTTATTTTATTTATAGGTTTTGAAGATTTTTGAATAAATGGAGAGTTAGAAAAATTGACGAAGAAAAAAAGGTTTCTCTTCGCCCATTTTTTCTAACCCGCCATTTATTCAAAAATCCTCAAAACCTACAATAAAATAAAGCGACTGCTATACGAAGGCTAGTTCAAACCGCGCTTATATATAAAACAGATCATGGAAGCTCAAGCCGTTGGAAGCACTCAAATAAAACTATAGGAATCATACATGCAGTATACTGCATCGGTTACTTCATGGTACATTAGTTTACATATACTACAACTTTACGAAATGAATCTCTGAGATGTTTCTTCAAATTAGTTTCTTCAAGTTGCTCTCGCGGAAAGTGGCTTGCAAAATGATGCACAACTGACAAGGAAATGTTTTTTGTCATAGTTCGATATTTTTTTGCATAATAATGAAGACAATCAAAGTGAAAGAATTTTGCTGAAACGGAAGATTGTCTATTGCTATGTACTACGAGATAAGATTCAGATTCAACCAGATTCAGATTCAACCCTGGAGATATCTTTATTGGTTTTAAGCTAGCAACTACGCATACAGGTTTATGTATATCATCGTAAATTCAGTAAAACTCAAAACATTGTTATCATCTATTTGAATACTATCTGCAGCTTTATAAACAGGTTCCTGAAACGGACGGACACGAGGGACACCTACTGGGGTTAGAACAGTCAGAGAATTAATTAACCGATAAATTTATTTTCAACATAATGTCCATGCACAACAAGAAACAGTGTGCAGTTATTATTTATTATACCATAAATTATACTGTTTAATACATAGTTATTATTATACTTGCCCATATTTCGCTATACGATCTCATGTGAAAAGATCAACTCTCTCGCCGAAAGTCGTGGGACAGGGTTGATTATAGGATGAACATAGTTATATAGGAAAGTAATGTACGTCACAATGTTGTAAGAATAAATTGTCTAGGCAAAATAGGTAATATAGGCTAAGTAATTGTAATACTTGATGTAATCGGTCATTTAAAAGCACAATAGGATGCGCGGAGCCGAAGTGCATACTCAACATTTTTCATAAAAATGATCATGTTTAGTATAAACACATATAATATAGATCATACATATTTTTTCACCATTAAAGTGATTTGAGCGAAGAAAATATCCATTACAATAATAATTAAGAAGGGATGCAGCTCCTGTATATACGTCGTATATGTATTAGTATATAATGAAGCTCGTGCATGAAGGGGTCAATAAAATGGGTGTAGCCTATATATTCTCACCGAAAAAATAGAATTTGGATCACTATAAGAATGGGATTTGTACCATTTGTACCGACAAGTTTGCTGTTGAGAATGGAATATAGCAAATAATTGGGTTGGGTGACTGGAATTCAGACAAAATTTTGGCTGAGAAAATGCGATTGAACACCCGCCCCCCCACTTCATGTCCCTCAGTTTAAACTTTAAACATAGTCTTGCGCAGTGATAGAGTACAAGCCATGCATGCATGGTGCACGATTTTTAGTAAGTTTGAAACCTACATGCACCGTGATATAAAAATTGCTTCATCAGCCTAGTTGCCGGTCTTCTGATGTTGGAGAAGTTATATTTCCTTAATAAAAAAGGCTTGCAGCTCACTATTCAAAGTGCATGCATGTCTTGGTAATTTGTTTTCGAGACAATCCAATATTGTGAGTCCTCAGATTAGTCCGGCAGAGTCATTTGAGTTCTGCGGAAAAATTCTTATTATCATGCAATTTAGACTTCTAGACGGCTTTACTGCATGGCCAGTACAGATTGAGTATTCTCCTACAGTACATCTTTATAGGTTTTTCCTGAGGAAATATGGCAAATTTAAATAAAGACACTTTGGCTCGCCCCATATTTCGTTTCTTTTCTTTTCTTGCTGCTGCAGAAAGTCAAACTTCTATTCGAGCTTAAGATATAGCGAACTTTTAATTATAAGAGCATGGTGACCCATCAGTCGTAAATCGAACTAATCGAGTATAGATCACTTATGTTATTAGTTTATATCGGTTCAAACCGCGCGCTTATATGTAAAACAGATCATGGAAGCTCAAGCCGTTGGAAGCACTCAAATAAAACTATAGGAATCATACAGTATACTGCATCGGTTACTTCAGTACGTTAGTTTACATATAGCCTAGCTACTACAACTTTACCAAATGAATCTCTGAGATGTTTCTTCAAATTAGTTTCTTCAAGCTGCTCTGGCTGAAAGTGGCTTCAAAATGATGCACAACTGACAAGGAAATGTTTTTTTGTTATAGTTCGATATTTTTTTGCATAATAATGAAGACAATCAAAGTGAAAGAATTTTGCTGAAACGGAAGATTGTCTATTGCTATGTACTTCGAGATAAGAAAACTTAATCTTTATATATAGGCAGGTCCAGATTCAACCATGAAGATATCGTTATGATTTTTAAGCTAGAAACTACGCGTGCAGGTTCATGCATATCTTCGTAAAATTCAGTAAAATTCAAAACATTGTTATCATCTATATTTGAATACTATCTCCAGTTTTATAAAGAGGTTGCTGAAACGGAAGGACACGAGGGACACCTACTGGGGTTAGAACAGTCAGATAATTAACTAACCGATAAATTTATTTTCAACATAATGCCCACAACAACAAACAGTGTTAAGTAATTATAATATTATACCCTTTAGATTATACTGTTATAGTTATAGTATTACTTGCCTATATTTTGCGACGGACTCATGTGAAAAGAGTCTGTCAACGGTCTGCCGCCGAAAATCGTGGGACAGGGTTGATTAGGATAAACGTAGTTATAGGAAAATAATGTACGTCACAATGTTGTAACGATAAATTGTCTGGGCAAAGTAAGTCGGTCATTTACTCAACATTTTTCATAAAAAATGATCATGCATGTTTAGTAAACACACATAAATATATAGATCAAACATATTTTTTTCACCATTAAAGGGATTTGAGCGAAGAAAACATTCATTACGTACAATAATAATTCAGGCAGCTCTACGTCCTATATGAATTGGTAATGAAGCTTGTGCATGAAGGGGTCAATAAAATGGGTGTAGCCTATATTCTCACCGGAAAAATAGAATTTGGATCACTATAAGAATGGTGTTTGTACCATTTTGTATACCAGCAAGTTTGCTGTTGAGAATGGAATTTGGCAAATAATTGGGTCGGCTGACTTGTATTCAGACACATTTTGCCTGAGAAAATGGATTGAACTCCCTCCCCCCACTTCATGCCCTCAGTTTAAACATATATAGTCCTGCGCAGTGATAGAGGAAATGCCAAGGCGCACGATTTTTAATAAGTGTGAAACCTACGCCGTGACATCAAAATTGCTTCATCATCCTTGCCGTCCTTCATGCACTCATGTTGGAGAAGTTATATTTCTTTAATAAAAAAGCCATGCAGCTCACTATTCAAAGTGTCTTGGTAATTTGTTTTCGAGACAATCCAATTTTGTGAGTCCTCAGATTTGTCCGAGTCATTTGAGTTCTGCGGAAAAATTCTTATTATCCAATTTAGACTTTTAGACAGCTTTACTGCATGGTTTACAGATTGATTATTCTCCTACAGTATACATCTTTATAGTTTTTTTTTGAGGAAATGGCCGGCAAATCAAGTTAAATAAAGACACTTTGGCTCGCCCTATATTTCGTTTCTTTTACTTTTCAAAAGATTTTTTTGCTGGTGCAGAAAGTCCAAACTTCTATTCGAGCTTATGAGATATAGCGAACTTTTATAAGAGCATGCTGACCCATCAGTCGTAAAACGAGCATAGATCAGTTATGTATTTGTTAGTTCTATCGGTTCAAACCGCGCGCTTACTAGTAAAACATGCAGATCATGGAAGTTCAAGCCGTTGGAAGCACTCGAATAAAACTATAGGAATCATACAGTATACTGCATAAAGTTACTTCAGTACCTAATTAGTTTACATATACTACAACCTTACCAAATGAATTTTATCTGAGAGGTTTCTTCAAATTAGTTTCTTCAAGTCTCTCTCACTGAAGGTGGCTTGCAAAATGATGTACAACTAACAAGGAAATGTGTTTTATCATAATTCGATATTTTTGCATAACAATGAAGACTATATCAAAGTGAAAGAATTTTGCTGAAACGGAAGATTGTCTATCGCTGTACAGCCTGCACTATGAGATATATAAGATCAGATAAGATTAAGAAGCGAAATGCAGACTTAGTAATTAATGCATACATTTCCTCTAATTATATATATACAAACATGAATATTATGTATATTTAAAAAAATTAATTAATAAGTCACGAGGAAAATACAAAAGAAATGAATGTTTAATCAGTGTTTGTAAATCGGATAAAGATTTGTCCTGATTTACATAAACTTCAGCTTTGATTTAATTTTGTCGGCTTAGACAATGTTTATTTTTAAAGATGGGTCGTTCAGATACAGATCGGCTGCTCATGTTTTATCTAGTGCATATTATAGTTCTAGATTATTGGTATATATGATTTGGGGGTGCGGTCGGCTTTACAGTTTCAGATTCGCAGTTTCAGATTCACATTCAGATTCAAATATGAAAATAGATCAGGTGTCTGGCGTATAAGATGTCGAATTACTCAGTTTCTTTCTACGCAATAAACTTGTTAACGAATTTCATTCTTCTTCAGAACATTACGCATTGAACAAATGTATTTTGAAGGCTTTAGCGCAAAATGTGAAGTCAGGAAAAATCGCAAGAGATAGACGATCAAGACGTGAATTCATGCTGCGCCATATTGTCGCAAGTGATCGGCAATATTATATTTCTCTGTCTAAAGCAAAATACCCGTTGTAGCTCCCTAATCTCTGAAATTCATTCACTACTACATTATACTGAATGGTATAAAGTAAACAAGATCCTGAAAACGTTTGCCGTTTTGTCAGGAAAAATCGCAAAACGTCGCGGACGCGAACCGGCTTTTGTAACCCGAAGCGAATGACAACAACGCAGCTGAGAGAATAAATCCTTCTCACGCATCACACGTTTACATTGAAATATTTTCCAGCAAATCCATTCTTCTACAGCTATCATAGAATGATATAACGCACTCGTTAGCTTCAAACAACTTCTGGCTTCAGCAGGAAAAATCGCAAAAGACAACTCATGTTTGACTAAAAATTCCGGATGGGCATTGGAAGTCTCCTGCTGGTCCGCTTAGTCTAATATAAGTGCATTTTTTCTCATTAGTGGGTCTATGCCAGCTTATTTATAATTTTATAATGCTTGGCCGTCTTTTTTTCGCGAGAAAAGTGTTTCAAATCTTTTTATGTGCAGAATGATAAAATGACTGCCCCCCCGGATTTTATTGCTCCATATTGAAATTTCCCGTAGTTTCACATTCACTTTCATATTCGCATTAAACTGTGAAAAAGTGCACAAATCGTTAAACCACTGCAACAGTTTTAATGCAGCCCATTACGGTAAAGATTTTCATTCATCTACATTATTGTGCGCTTCATTTGACGGTTTTCATTGCGATTCACCATTGTGTGCGCGCAGGAAAAATCGCAAAAGACAGACGATCAAGACGTGAATTCATGCGGCGCCATATTGTCATAAGTGATCGGCAATATTATATTTCTCTGCCTAAAGCAAAATACCCATTGTAGCTCCCTAATATCTAAAATTCATTCATTACTACATTATAGTGAATGGCATAAAGTAAACTATAGATCTTAAAAACGTTTGTCGTTTTGTCAGGAAAAATCGCAAAACGTAGCTGACGCAAACCGGCTTCTGTAACCCGAAGCGAATGGCAACAACGCAGTTGAGAGAATAAATACTTAATTATCACGCATCACACGTTTACATTGAAATATTTTCCAGCAAATACATTCTTCTACAACTATCTTAGAATGATATAACGCACTGGTTAGCTTCAAACAACTTCTGGATTCAGCAGGAAAAATCGCAGAACTGCCAGAAGACAACTCGTGCTGGACTAAACAATCTGGATGGGCATTGGCGGTCTCCTGCTACTCCGCTTAGTCTGATACAAGTGCATTTTTTTCTTATGTGTAGGATGGTAGATGGTATGTGTAGAATTATAGACGTATATATGTGTAGAATAATAGACGGAATGACTAACCGCCCCCACCCCACCCCCAGTCCAACCGCCGATTTTATTGTTCCACATTAAAATTTCTCGCAGTTTTCGCATTAATACACGGCTTTTAATTGAAGGGATGTGTAGCTACTAGCAAATATAATAAAAATTTACCTTATGCTTGGTAACAAATGTCAACAGAGTTATGACATAAATGTCATAACACAACACCAACACGCTATCTTTAAAGACACTTGCCAGTTAAGTCAGTTAACTGTCTACGACATAAAACGCACGTACCTGATACAGCGAATTTTTACTCATGATTTTCATGATATTCCATCGGGCTCCATATAAAAACGATGAAATGCTTAACGCTTGCTTTGTGTACAGTTATTTATTAAAAATAATGCAATGTTATAATTACAACCTATTATGTGTCCGTACAAGGTACGAGCACATGGCGAGATATGACACCCAATCCCATGAAACATAAGCCAATGAATATCAAGATTTAAATATCTAATTATAATGTTACATAATAAACCTTATTGTCTTCTACAACGACATTTTAAAGGCTATATATAAGCTTAACTTGCGTCGTCCCAAAGATGCATCTGTCCAAAAAACCAAAGAATCCAAAAATAAAAAAGTCTCTAAAAATAAAATAAAATTCAAAAATAAAAAAAATGTTCCAAAAATCCTCGTACAATATTTGCCGAGTAAGGATTTTTCTGTAAAAGTGGGTAACATTTCGTTTGGCCACTTTCCTGTTGAATAGTCTTGGCTTTTGTTTTGCTTTAGGTCGCATAAAATGCAAGAATTTGTCTTCCAAATAGGACAAACGCGAGTGAGAGTATATTTGCAACTTTAAATAATTCAGTAATAAAATAACTTGCACAATTTTATTGTATATACGTTAACTATTACTCGATCTCAGAAAATCAGATTGATTTCGCTCTTGTGATTTTATGTTGTGCATGGTTGGGTGGTCCGGGTGTCAACTGCATGGTGTCACCCAGGAAAATTTTAGGTTACAAGAACACCATTTTCAAGTGCACTCCGGGCAGTTGAGATCACAATGGTTGAAAGCAATTTTTCCTGCATATAGAGGCGCAAATGCGATTCCTAACTGAGCAGTTAAACTACTATGATTTGTATCAATACTATATATAAATTAAATTAATATTAACCTTCCATGCAGCCATGCATATAGGGACGAAACAAAGCTGAAAAGACAAAAAATATACCCTACATGCACCAGAGAGACAAGAAATTGCTTTGTGCATGCATGTCGGCAGCTCGCCAGTCTCGTGCAAGCCTGCATGCAAGTGAATGCGAACGAACGATCTTGGAATGCATGTTCTTGCGTGAGGATAGTTTGAATTTGTACCGAAAAGAGTCGGCACAACCATCAAATAACAATTAATAAAATAAATCGCAGTTCGATATATGTATAATAATTAAAATCGCATGTGCAATTTGAATAAATTTTGCTGACCATGCAAATCCAGAATACAATATCCTTGAGCTACGTGTACTTACTACAAACAAAATCTATATCAGTTGATGTTATAGGGACCACATGCATGCATGCAATAATCAGTTTTGTATATATATATAGAATAGATATAAGTAGCATTCTTTTTAAGAATCTTTTCTGAAACTTTTGACCTCAGTAATTTGCTTATAGTTTCGATAAGTTACTGTTTTTGACGGACTACATGGAGAGTCTATGAAACTCGCATATATGAATTAAATTTTTATAGTTATATAGTTTATTTGACCGTAGTCCGTATGCATTTCAGCACTGATTGGCATTCATGTTTTACGACTATATAATTATAGCATATGCTATATAAACATATACTCAAGAATTTATACTCAGTAATTCAAACTCTCTGCAGTAAAATTCAAAAGTCTTTGCAAAAAATGTGGTTAACCGCTTATGATAATCTTTATTATCTATTTGAATACTATCTCCAACTTTATAAAGAGCTTGCTGAAACGGAAGAACACCTATTGTGCTATAGAACAGTTAGAGCGGAATTAATTTAACTTAGATAAATTTATTTGTCCAGGTTAAAGTCCACAATTTATTTGTCCAACATAATGTCCATGCACAACAACAAACAGTGTGCAGTTATTATATATTATACCGGCCATAGATTATAACTGTTATATAGTTATTTTTATGCTAGCATATATTTCGCTACGGTCTCATGTGAAAAGCGTCTGAAGCCAGAGCAATTTTCCCTTTTGTATAAACGTGGGTTTTCTCTGGGCAGAAAGGTGACGGGGTGATTAGGATAAGTAGTTATAAGAAAGTAATGTTACAATGTTGTTAATATACGTAATCGTATACTTGATGGAATCAGCCATTGAAAAGCACTAGGATGCGCGGAGTGCGCAGTGCATGTTCAACATTTTTCATCGAAATGGACAAATGGTCATGCTTAATAAATACTCATAAATAATAATATAGATCAAACATATTTTTTTTTCACCACTAAAGGCATTTGAGTGAAGAAAACATTCACTATACACATGCATGGCTACAATAATAATTAAGAAGATAGCTCCGTCGTATATATAATGTAGGCCCATCAGTCATGAGACTCGTGCATGAAGGGGTCAACAAAATGAGTGTACGCATGCATGTAGTCTATATTCTCACCGTGAAATTAGAATTTGGATCACTAAGAATGGGATTTGTACCATTTGCAAGAGAAATGTTACTGTTGATAATGCAGAATTTGGCAAATAATGGTGACTCGGGTGACTGGCATTCAGACGATATTTGGGCTGAAAAAATAGGTTTAGTGAACACCCGCCCCCCATTTCATGTCCCTCAGTAAAAACATAGTCCTGCACAGTGACAGAGTGCAAGCCCAGGTTCACGATTTTTAAT